AAAGCGATTTTGTTAGTTAGTTATGAGCTTGACGAAATTTTAGCTTTAGCCGACCGAGTGGCGGTCGTTAACCACGGCACTAAAGTTGATGAGCTACCGATCAGCGGAGTTAGTCGTGATAAACTAGGCGAGCTGATGACTAGCAAACTACCGCCGGAAGGGGCCGCTTAAAATGCCCACTCCAAAAATCCAAACTTCTCGGCGTTGACCTTGACATTTGCAGTTGATTCGTCTCATCAACAGCGACGGGTCGCGCAGCGCTTGGTCAAAGGTCAGAGCTTCAATCATCGCGATTTTGCTCGGACTAACGATCGGTCTTTTGCCGATTCTGTTCGCCGGCGGCAACCCTTTGATCGGCTACTGGAGAATGTTTAGCGCGCCTTTTCACGTTCTCAATTTCAACAAAACGTTGGTGACGATTTCAATTTTTATTTTGCTCGGAACTGGGATCGGAATTTCCTTTAAAACTGGTCTTTTCAACATCGGAGCAACGGGGCAATTTTTAATCAGTGGCGCGGTTTGCGTTTTAGTCGGTATCCACTTTGATTTGCCCAAGCCGCTGGCGATACCGCTTTTAATTTTGTTAGGTAGCGCCGTGGGAATGGTCTGTGCTTTAATTCCGGCCGTTCTAAAAGCTTTTTTCAACGTTCACGAAGTTGTTTCCACCATTTTGCTAAACTGGGTTTTCTTTTTCGTCGTTAAATGGATCACGGCTTTACCCCAGTACCAAGACGTGTCGGGTTCAACTTTGCCGATCCATCCCTCAATGGGCTTTAGCACCAACCGTGGTTCGTGGGATTTTTTGGTTATTCTGAGCATCACGATTTTGCTTTGCCTAACAATCTTTTTAGTTTTTCGTTACACCACCTTTGGTTACCAACTGCGCGCTAACGGACTGAGCCCCAGCGCGGCTCGCTACGCAGGTATTAACGCCAAGATGATGATCATTTGGGCGATGATGCTTTCGGGTGCCTTGGCCGGCGTGGCCGGTTTTCTGAACTACTCGACTTTAGAGGGTCGCATCCCGCGACTCGGCCACGTTTTACCCACGATTGCCTTTGAGGCAATCACAGTCACTCTGCTAGCTTTTTCTTCGCCGCTTGGTTCGATTTTAGCAGGCGCATTTTACGGAACGCTTTACAGCGGTCAAGCATTTGTGACCCAGGCCGGCGGCAACGTAGTCCGCGAAACGGCTCAGTTAAGTTTGGCGATCGTTATTTTCACCGCCGCTTTGGCCAGCGTTTTTACCCGCTTTAACTGGGGGCAAATGTTGCTCAGGCAAATTAAACTCAACAGATCAAGCTGGGTCAAACGCCAAAGGGCAATTTACCGTCAAAAGCGCGCCGAAATTAAAATCGTCGCCCGTGCTAAAGCCGATCTGCTGAGCGACCAAATCCGTCTCAACAAACAAAAACTCGTCGCTTTGGAGCGCGAATGGTCGAGTCAAGTTGTCCAAGTTAACCAGATCTTTAAGAAAGGCCAAATTGACTTAGCGACTAAAAACGCCCGCCTAAGTCAAATTAACCAACTTTACCAAACTAAAAACCAGCGCCTCATCGGAACGAGCAGCGACCAAATTAGGCGCGAGTACCGAATCGAACTGAGGGATCTGAAAGGTCAACACCGTTTTGAGGTTTTGACTCGGCTGGACAAGTACGAAACGCTTTGCCAAGAGCTAGTTTGGAAGTACCGCCACGCTCTGGCCCACGCTCGTGACCCCGAGCAAAGACTGGAGATTAAGCAGCGCTGGTTTGAGCAAAAAACCCAGCTCTACGACTGGTGGATCGGAGGGGAAAAATAATGGTTAGCGTCATCGTTGTCGGAGCAATCGTCTCGATTAGCATCATTTTCGCTTTGGCCGCGGTCGGCGGCATGGTCAGCGAAAAAGCCGGTGTGATCAATTTGTCAATCGAAGGGTTTATGACGATCGGCGCGATTAGTTACGCGGTGGTCGCTAATTTGCCCGGCCTAAAAAGTGTTTTAGCCTACCAGTGGTTGCTTTTTCCGATGGCGGGTCTTTTAGCGAGCGTCTTTGCCATCATTTACGCGCTCGCCACGGTTAAACTCAAAGCTAACCAAACGATCGCTGGTATCGCGCTCAACGCGCTGGCCGTCGCGATTTCCTTCTTCATCATCAAACTTAAAAAAACCAGCGAAATCGAAATGCAGCCCTACCTTTGGACGCTGGGTAGCAACAACCAAAGTTTTGTTTGAGTCTTTAACATCGCGGTTTTGCTTGGTTTGCCGATGATCGCGCTGGTGATTGTGGTGCTGAACTACACTAAGTTTGGCAAGCTGATTAAGGCCGTCGGTGAAAATCCCGACGCCGCGGCTACGCTCGGCGTCCGAGTCGAGTGGGTCCAAATCAAAGCGGTCATCTTTTCGGCTTTCTTTAGCGGTTTAGCCGGCGCGATTTACGCCCAAAACATTTCCGGATATTTTCACGGCACAACCCAAGGAGCGGGTTTTTTAGCCGTGGCGCTGGTCATTTTTGGTCAGTGAAAACCGTCGCTGATTTTGCTGGGCTCAATTATTTTCGGTTCCATTTATGCCATAATTAACAATGCAACGCTGATTCCGGTGCTCAACACCATCGAGGGAACCGATTTGCTCCACACGATCCCTTACTTACTGTCAACGTTAGTCTTAATTTTCAGTTCACGCCATTCCCGAGCTCCTCGCGCGCTCGGAATTCCCTACTCCATTCAAGGCAGGTAATATGACTCCGCACATTCAAGCTAAAAAAAACGACATTGCTCCGGTGGTTTTAATGCCGGGCGACCCGCTCCGAGCCAAGTACATCGCCGAGCACTTTCTCCAGGACGTTCGTCTAGTTAACACTTTACGCAACATGTTAATGTACACCGGCCGGTACAAAAAGAAAATGATTTCGATTTGTGCTTCGGGCATGGGTCAAGCTTCAATCGGTATTTACGCTTACGAACTGTTCAACTTTTACGACGTCCAGAAAATTATTCGGATCGGATCGGCTGGTTCGTACCAAAAAAACCTCCGTCTTTTTGAGGTGGTTTTGGCGACGAGCGCCTACACCGAATCAACCAGTTTCGGGCTCAACATTTTGGGAGTGGAAGAGCAAGTGTTTTACCCGTCGGAACTTCTGAACGAAAAAATCCGTCAAGCGGCTCACAAAATTGGTATTAACTTAGTTGAGGGACCGATCCACACCTCCGACGTTTTCTACTCGGTAATTCCGCTTGAGGAAAGAATCGCTCAAACGCAAGCGATTTGCGTGGAAATGGAAGCGGCCATGCTCTTTGCGATTGCCCGTAAGTTTTCCCGCCAAGCAGCTTGCCTTTTGACAATTAGCGATAACTTGGTCAATAACGAGGAGACATCGCCCGAAAACCGCGAGCAAGCGTTCCAAGACATGATGCGCTTGGGGCTTGAGTTAGCCGAGTAAAGTGCCGATTAAAAGTTGAATGAGCGCTTTGTTCAGTCTGGTTTTTGTGGCCGGACCGGCTTTGCTGATGTTTTATTTTTGACTGCCTGAGTGAAACGATGGTCGCTACCCGATCGGCCTCGGACTGCTCTATTTGGCCGCTCTTGGGCTGGTGGTTTGGACTTTTTTAACCACTTGCTGCGCCGTTTACCTTCGTTTAATTGACTTTGATGCGCTCCGCTTTAGTTTGCCGCTGGCCCTAGCTTTAGCGGTGATTTTAGTTTCTAGTTCTTGACCGATTTGGGCACGGGCTTTTGCCGTTATTTTGACGGTCACTTTAGCTTGGCCAATCAACGGTCTGATTAGTCGGTTCAACTTTAAAAAATAAGCAAACTTGTATAATCAAGTTGTTAATGAAGTTAAGTTCGTGGCTGCCGAAACGGAAATTTGCCCACCATGTTTTGCGCTTGATCGTTCCGATCGCTCTCGGCCAAATGCTCGTGACTTCGGTCTCGTTTGTTGACCAGTTTATGGTCGGTTGGGTGGACGATGTTGACCAGCCGCTGACAACGGTACTGATCACGACCGAAATTTTTCACGTCGCGATGAGTATCAACTTAGGGATCGGACTGATCGGCGATATTTTTGGCGCCCAGTTTTTCGGCGCCAAGATGTTTCGCAAGTTCAAAGCGGCCAACAAAATCAAGACGCTGACCAACTTTTGAGCGGCGCTGATCACGGTCTTGTTTCTCAACATTTTTGCCGAGCAACTGCTCGGCTTATTTATTGACCATTCCTACACTTTGCGCGTTGCCGCCCGCTACCTCAGGCTTTTAACGATCGGTCACGTCATGTACGCGGTAACGATGAGTTTCATCGGAGCGCTCAACACGATCGGTAAACCGCGTTACCAACTTTATTCTTCGCTCGTGCCGCTCACAATCAACATCTTTTTTAACGTGGTTTTTCTCTACTGGATGAAACTGGATCTTTCGGGGGCAGCTATTTCGACCATTTTGGCCCGTTTTTTGGAACTGCTGCTCGTGTTTGTCTTTGTTTGAAAAAACCGCAAGTTCGTTTGGTTTGGCTGGGACTGGTGAAAATTTGATCTTCAGTTAGTCAGGTCAATGGCTCGGCGCAGTCTAATTATTACCAGTCAGGTGGCGCTGGCACTTGGTTTAGTCGCCAAGACGGCGGTTTGGACTAACAATTACCCCGCCATTAGCGAAGCGGTCGGAATCGGTTACGCCATTAACGGACTTTTATGGGCTACTTTCCCAGGCTTTAGCACCGCTTCGAAAGTTTTGATCGGTCGGCGGATGGCCAACAACCAATTTGACCAAGCTTACGACGAGGCCCGCAAAATGCTATTGATCGTGTTTATTTTTGGTCTGGCGCTCGGACTAGCCACTTTGCCGCTCGCTTTTTTCCTGCCCGCCGCGGTTGGTCTGACTAGCGCGCTTGAGTTAGGCGCGGCTCAGACGATGATCATCGTGGAAGCGTTTTTAATCGTTTTCATTATTTGCGGCGTTTACATTTTCTCGCTTTTAGAAGCGGGCGGTTTTTCGTTTGCCTCAACCTTTTTAAACAGTTACTACGTGATCGCGGTCGTTTTTCCCTTCGCAAGTTTGATGGCCCATTTAACCGACATTTCGTTTGAGCGACTCTACCTACTGACGCAACTACTCCATTCGCTGGGCGTTTTTGGCGCTTCGCTACCTTTCTTTTTCCGCCGACGTTGGTTGCGCAACATCACGATTAGTCACCGTTAACGTTTGGCTTTGCTAATGACGCGGAGAAACTCTTGGAAAAGCGGGTGCGGTGCCAGCGGGTTAGCTTCGAACTCAGGATGGGCTTGGACGCCGATGTAAAACGGGTGGTCCTTAACTTCGCACACTTCGGCTAGACCCGTCTGTTCGTCAAAACCTGAGAAAAGGAACCCACCCCGGTTAAGCGTCTCCACGTACTGCGGACTCGCTTCGTAGCGGTGGCGGTGGCGCTCGTAGGCGTAAGTTGATCCGTAAATTTGGCTGACACGCGAACCGCGCACTAACTTAGTTTTCGAGCGGCCAAGGCGGAGCGTTCCGCCCAGTTTGTGGTGTTTTTTGTCCTGGATTAAATCGATTACAAAAGTGCCTTGCCGGGAGATTTCGCGGCTAGTTGGGTTGGGGATTTGGAGCTCCTGAGCTTGGACAATCACCATCGCTTGGAAGCCGTAACAAATGCCTAAAGTCGGTAGTTTGCTGAGACGCGTAAAACGGGCGACCGCGACTTTGCCGACAAAACCGCGCTTGCCAAAACCGGGCAAAATGATCACGCCGTCAACGCCGTCTAAACGCTCGGCGATTGTTTTTTCGTCGAGCAGCGAACTCGAGGCGAGCCAAAGTAGCTCAACTTCGCAATGGTTGTAGTTGGCGGAAATGTTGATCGCTTCCACGATTGACTTGTAAGCGTCTTCTAGTTCAACGTACTTTCCAACCATCGCGATGCGAACTTTCTTAGGTTTAGGAGCGTTGATCAGTTTGACGTATTTTTTCCAGTCGGCCAGGTTAGGTCGCGGGCAAGGCAAGTCAAAGTGGTGCAAAATAATTTTGGCCAAGTTGAGTTTTTCAAAGTAGAGCGGCAGTTTGTAAATGTTATCCACGTCGGGAACGGGCACGCAGTGGTCGCGTTCAACAAAAGTTAGCGCCGCCGTTTTTTCGGCGATCGAAGCGGGAATGGCCGAGTTAGCGCGCAGTAAAATCATGTTTGGTGTGAGGCCGCTGGCGTGAAGTTGGCGCACCGAGTGCTGGGTCGGTTTAGTTTTGAATTCCTCGGAAGCTTTTAGGTAGGGAATAAACGAGCAGTGGATCAAAAAAGTTTGCCCCCGGTAGCGGTGTGAGAATTCCCAGAGCGCTTGTAAAAACGGTTGCGATTCGATGTCGCCAACTGTTCCGCCGACTTCGGTGATGATAAAGTCGGCTTTGGAACTGAGCGCGACTTGCTCGATTTTATGGATGATTTTGTTGGTTACGTGGGGAATGGCTTGGATCGTTTTGCCGTGGTAAACGCCCAGCCTTTCTTCCTCAAGCAACTCTTGCATCAATTTACCCTGGGTGTAGTTTGAGTCCTTGGTGAAAGTTTCGCCGATAAAACGCTCGTAGTGACCTAGGTCTAAGTCGGTCTCACCGCCGTCGACGGTCACAAAAACTTCGCCGTGCTGGTAGGGGCTCATCGTGCCCGGATCAACGTTATAGTAGGGGTCAAATTTTTGGACAAAAACGCGGTAATTACGGGCTTTAAGTAAACGTCCCAGCGCCGCAGCTGAGACACCTTTACCTAACCCGGATACAACTCCGCCGGTTACAAATAAGAACTTAGTGTGTTTTAAAGGCATGAAACTCCTCGCAAAATAGCTACAAAAACATTTTACTGGACCGATCCGGGGTCAGGTCGGGTTTTTTCTCGTAGAATGGAAAGGAAAGAGAGGCAGCGTTGCGAGCATTTTTTGGTTTTAGTCCCAGCCACCGGACTTTGGTCCAAAAGATTGCCCTGAGCGGTGTCATGCTCGGACTAGTTTTGCTGGCCCAGTTTTGCGAGCGCTTCACGCCGATTTTTGCCTACATGAAAATTAACGTTTCGCTGGTGTTCATTTTGCCCGTCTTTTACTTTGCCGGCTGACACTTTGGTTTGCTTTTGCTCGTTTTAAGAGCCATTTTGGGACCGCTGATCGATTCGCTAACCTTGGCGACTTTGATCGGTCACGTGATCTTATTTTTCGTGGAAGCGCTGGTGGTAATTTTGATGTACCTCTACTCGTTTGTTTTTAAAACCGTGGTCAGCCACAACTTAAAGATGCTGCTAATCATTTTGGCGACTTTAGTTAGCATTTGCTTTTTGGCCAGTTTCTTAAACGCCGCACTGTTTTTGCCGGTCTACCTTTTTTACTACGGAATCATTTCTGAGCCTACGCTGCCCCAGGCGATCGCGGTCTACGAGCAAATCAGCCCCTTTTACTTCGGGATATCCAACTACTGGACCGGCACTTTAATAGCTTACTGAGTCGGCAATTTTTGCAAATTTGGTCTCGTCCTAGCGCTTTACTTTCCGCTGGCCAAAGTTTTGCGTGGTTATTACACTCGTTAAATTTATTTAGCACTCTCGGTATTAGTCTGCTAATTTTGGTATAATTAATTCAAAAGACGCCCAAGCAGTTAAAATTAGAGTTAAAAGAGGTGACCATTGAAATATCCCGTTATAACAACTCGCGGAGTGATCGTTTTTCCCGGTTACACGAGTTCGTTAGATGTTGGCCGTAAGTCTTCGCTTAACGCGATTGACATCGCCATTTCCAAGTTCAACAACCAGTTAGTTTTAGTCTCCCAGCGCGACATTTTAAAAAACGAAGTCGGTGGCAAAAACGATCTTTTTGGCGTCGGAACTTTGGTGTCAATTAAAGTTGAACGCGAGCACCAAACTAACGCCAAAACTTTGGCCGTGACCGGACTTAAACGAGTGCGGATCAAAGAAATTAGTCTTAACGAAGGGTTTTTGGTTGAGGCCGAAATTAGCGTTTTAAAAGATCGCCAAAGCAAAACGGGTGACGAGGGCGCGCTAGTTAGCAAAATTTCCCGCAAGTTAGACGCGGTTGTCGGCAGCATGGTCAACATTCCTAAACACGTGCTCTCTTCGCTGGCTTCGGGTATTTCAGCCGGCGAGTTAGCCGATGTGATCGCCCACTACTTGCCGATCGCTTTGCCTAAAAAACAAGAAATTTTGGAAACGACCTTAGTTCCCAAACGACTCAAGTTAATTTTGCAGCACCTAGAAGAGGAGTCGCGGATTAACCAAATCGACAAAGACATTGATAAGTCGGTGCGCAAGACGCTTGATGGCCAGCAGAAGGAGTTTTTGCTGCGCGAGCGCATGAAGGCGATTAAAGAAGAACTCGGCGAAATTTCTTCCAAAGACACAGAAATTGAAGATTGAAAGAAAACGCTGGAAGATAAAAAGTACCCCGAGGAAGTGCGCGCCAAAGCGCTGGAGGAAATTAAAAAGTACGAGTCAACTCCACCGATTTCAGCCGAAGCCAACGTGATCAAGAGTTACATCGAACTGATTATTAAACTGCCTTGGAAAACTTTCACCGTTGATAACGAAGACATTCAAAAAACTAAGCACGTGCTTGACAAATACCACTACGGACTCAAAAAAGTTAAGGAGCGGATTTTGGAATATTTGGCGGTTAAAATTAACACCAAAAATTCCCACGCTCCGATCATTACTTTGCTCGGTCCGCCCGGGGTCGGGAAAACTTCGCTGGCCCGCTCGATCGGCGAAGCGATCGGTCGCGAAGTGATTAAAGTTTCACTCGGTGGTCTGCGCGATGAGGCCGAAATTCGCGGTCACCGCCGCACTTACGTGGGTGCGATGCCGGGCAAAATTATTCAAGCGGTTAAAAAAGCCCAGACTTCCAACCCAGTCATCTTACTGGACGAGATCGACAAGATGTCTTCCGATTACAAAGGCGACCCCACTTCGGCGATGCTGGAAGTGCTGGATCCAGAGCAAAACCGTAAGTTTCAAGACCACTACCTGGAGCTTGAGTACGATCTTTCCCAGGTCATGTTCATCGCGACGGCTAACTACTTAGAAAACATTCCGGCTCCGCTGATTGACCGGGTGGAGATCATCAGGCTTAACCAATACAGTTCCGAGGAAAAACTTGAGATCGCCAAACAGCACATCATTCCCCGTACGATTAACGAGAACGGATTAACTAAGAAACAGTTCGCCATTTCTGACCGCACGATTGAATACGTAATTGATAAGTACACTCAGGAAGCCGGCGTCAGAGAATTACAGCGCATCATGAGTAAACTAGCTCGGAAAGTAGTCGTTAAAAAACTGGAGGGCAAAGTTCAGGATGAGTTTCAAGTCAACCAAGAGGTGGTGGCCGAGTTTCTTGGTAAAGAAACGGTTTACAAAGAAAAACTGAAAGGCCGCGCCGAAGTTGGTCTAGTCAACGGCATGTACTACTCAGCTGTTGGCGGCGGTCTTTTACCGATTGAGGTCACGACTTATCCGACTAAGAACGGCGAAATTAAACTGACTGGCTCGATCCGCGACGTCATGAAAGAGTCACTTAACATTGCGATTGGTTACATCCGGGCTAACTCCAAACGTTTTGGCATCAATTTTGACTTTGAGAAAAACACCATCCAAGTCCACGTTCCCGAGGGCGCGATGCCTAAGGACGGCCCTTCGGCCGGCATCGCTTTTGCTACGGCCGTCATCTCGGCCTTGCTTAA